GGATCACATGCATTTTCGCTATCTTAGATGAAACACAGCAGAAACAGAAAGATGTCAGACTGTGAATGGACCCAGGGGATTCTGTGTTTGCAAACTAGCATGACCTTTGACTTTGCATATGTAGACACAAAAGAATCCCCGACAGGTAAAATGTAGCTCTGTCTTCCTTTAATAGGAACCCTTCAACAATTGCACTTCTGGTAGAGATAATTCTAATTATCTGTTGGTTATCTATCACATGTCTTATTGGCAACAGCTACTTGAGTGATATTTTTATCAGGATCCTGTTGGAGAGGGTGGGATGCGTAGCTCGGTAGTATAGCACTTGTCTCACATGTTCGAGGCACTGGGCCCAATTATTGGTAACAAAGGAAAAAAAAAAATCCTATGGGAATGGTGAATCTTCTCCAAATTGCCTAATTCCTCTGGCTATAATTATCTGCCATTGTTAGGAATGAATATCTTGGCCCAGTCTTTGCTTTATATTTCTTTTTAAAGCATTTTGACTGCAGTAAGTATGTCTGATTTTGTGATGTCACCAAAAAATGCTTAGTTCTGACCCTCATAAAAAGTTAATAGAAAAACAGGGAAATGAAATAAGCAGAAAAACATAAGACAGGGAAAGGTCAAGTGGGTAGACAAAGGAACCAAAAGAACAAAATAAATATAAGACATTGGATGGCAAGTCTGCTTTTCCACACTTTGTCATAGAAACTTGGTCGACGATAAGGTAAAATTACTGTCATAGTCCATTTGTCCTGCTGTAGCAAAATGCTCAAGACTGGGTGATTTATAAGTGATAGAAATTTATTTCCACACAATATTGAAGACTGGAAAGTGCAAAATAAAGACGCTAGCAGGTTCCGGGTTTATTGTGAGCTCCTGCCTCTGCTTTGAGGAGGGCATCTGGAATGGCTTTTCTTCACGGGAGACAAGTAATGTGTCCTTTGATGGCAGAAGGGCAGAGGAGAGGGAACCCACTCCCCCAAGCCTTGTTGTAAGGGCCTTAACCCCATCCGTGGGGGGTGCACCCTCACTACCGAATCCTATCAGAAAGGCCCTGCCTTTTAATACCAACACATTGGAGATTAAACTGCAATATAAATGTTGGAAGACACATTCATACCGTAGTCTGTCTGTCCCTCTGTCTCTCACTGCCTGTCTTTCTTTCTCTGTCTGTCTGTGTCTGTCTCTCTCTCTCTCTCTGTTTCTGTCTCTCTCCTTTTTTGGATGTGACCAACAGACACTAACTTAGAATGCCCTCTCCTTTGTAGTTGAAACATAATTGTACATCTTTGTGGAGTGTTGTATGGCAATTCAGTACACATATACAGTATGTAATAATCAATTCAGGGCACTAAGCATTCCCATTTATCTAAAAATTCATCTTTACATGCTGGGAATTTCAAATTATTTTAATCCTTTTCAAATATATCATAGATTATTTTTTGCCTCTAGCTACCCTACTGGGGTGAAGAAGAACCAGCAGCGGCTTTTCTGCTCAAACGATCTTACAGTGCCCTGTATCACACCTCTCTCCATCTCCCCTGCCTTGTCCTTGGCTGTGCTTCTGAGCTCCTTATAGCCAAACCCAAAACACTCATCCAATTAATGTACTCCTTTCTATCAACACAGAAAATTTTTTTCCTATGGAATTTACTTCGTCCAATTAGGAGGAACAAGTATTACCACAGATGTTCAGACATCAACCTAGAGCAAAGAAACATGAGAGGAGGCGTGGCCTTTCCAAAGGAGAAAAATAATTCTTCAGAAATGAACACTCCGTTCTTCTGTTACTGTGTAAAAGATGGAGTCTGTCATATTTTCTCCCTCCTCATGCCTACTTTTGAGCTTGGAAATCAGTATTAGAAAGGCCAGTGGAGGGTTCTTCTCAACTTCTGGATGATAGCCCCCTATTCTAGAAAGCTAACATGCATACTGTGCCTTGCACTTTCTGAGCTGGTCAATGTGAATGCTTTTTGCACCGTCGTTCTTAGGGCCCTGCCTATTCTCTCCTGGCACGTTTTGTCTTTGTCCTACTAAGTATCAGAACAGAAATCTCCAGCTCAAGCTCTGAAATCTCAGGAATGACTTTCGCGTTTTCTACTGGATTGTTTTTTTCAACTGAAGACAAAGATACCAGGAAGCTTTTAATGTAAAGAAGACCTATTTACTCAAATGACTAAAAGTTTGGTAGGGCTCATGATCACCATGTTGCCATGCACCAACGCATGCAGATTGTAAGTGACAGTGCCTTAAATTTTTTTTTTTAGTTTAAAATAATTCCTTATACAAATTAATGGATTTTATTTGGCAGGTGCAAATATACACATAACATACCTTGATCGTTTTTTTAAAAGAGGGTAACTTCTTGTTTGCCAAACCAAACCTGTAATAATTACTTCTTCTGGCACCCGAGATAGCTGACCAAGTTTAATATATCTCCGAGAGCTTCTGGACCTTCTTGATCAGAAGCTGAATTTTATTACTCGGACTAAAGTTTGTGATGTGTGCAAAAACTGCAACTTGTGGATCTTAAATCTATTGGCCCATATCAAAAGCCTTTCTTGGTATAATGGGACGATCAAACCCCCATTATGAGCATAAATGTGGCCGGATCGTACTCCACGTGATCACTCATTCATCATTTGGACTCCTTCAGAATGGTAGGGATGAGAAAAATAATAGCAGAACAATACACATAAAAGCAAATACTTGTAATATCACATATTTCAAAATACAGGTATGCTTAAATTAGGTAGACAGACGTGATCAGATTAGAACTGGGATATATTTCCTTAATTGACTCAGTTGTATCTCAGGCTTCAAATTATTGCCTCATAACTTCTGTGCTGAAATGTTTTTAAAAATATTCACAGCCAAGATTAATAACAGCAATGGGAACAGAATAAATAGCTATTGGGTGAGAAAACAAAATAAAATAAGAAACACATTGCAGGTGATTTCAGTCTCATCACTCCTAAATATGATGATGAAAATACAACTGCTTAGAATATGAAGACTTGATTTTTAAAATAAAATCTGGAAAATATAGATAATATTTAATGCATAATTGTACATTTGAACTTCAGAGGTAGTCATGGTAGTCTTTGCCCTGAAACATTTCAACATTTCCTTGCCCCGTATAGAGTGCAGGCCCTAGGAAAACACTCTCCAGGAATAAACCTACATTTCTAGTTTTCCATTCCATCCCAGCTCTCCTGCCTTATTGAACATATACAGGATGCCTCTGCCTTCTTTCCCTTGCTCTCCTATTTTATATCCACTTGCAATACCCTTTGCAAAGGGCTCTGCCCTTCAAAGTCCTACTCAAAGGCCTTTATTGGGAAGATGGATGTCTGAGTGAATGCTGCTTTCCATAGTAATAAATTATCTAGGACTGTTATTTTTTAGTTTCTCATTATTCTGATCTTATGTTATCTTTTATTACACTTAATTTTATTTGTGTCTCCTTGTGATCTACGTGTAGGAAACACATTTCTTTAGATTCTTTTTAGCTGTTTTTAGCATCTGCCTTTCCCACAACATACATATATTTGATTACCATTCAATTATTCATTTATTTATATAATATAAAATGCATGCTATATTGTTAAAAAGTTAGTTTATTATGAAGTACTATATTAACTGATAATTCTCTACCTATAATTGTTATATGTATTTTTCATCTTATATATATTTACTGATTGATTACCCTGCCCAAAGTATTTGCTTAAAACAAGTTTAATGCATATCTATTATAGCTCCTGTCCCATCAAAAGTTAGTATTCTGCCTTCTGTACATTTCTAATAATCCCTCTTGGCAGAAGCCGTGCTATTCACTTTTAAACTCACAGCACTTTGTGCTTAACAAGCTTTCAGTAAATGTCTGTTCAATAAACATCTGTGGTTGGATATATTGATAGCTAGAACAAATACATGAGTGAAATTAAGACTTTTTCAAAAGAAAAAATAATATGATTTATGTGAGCACAATGTGTTTAGAAGCAGAAAGTGAAATTAATGGTGTATAACCATTGTATTGTGACACTTTTAGTAATGAGAATTGCAAAAGAAAAGTCTCCAAGGCATGGAGACATTCCCGGCTTGACATTTTCTTGTTTTAAAGATGAATAAATCTGTCCTATGAGTTTGGACACATCTCATCCTCCCAGCCTTCCCAACCAAAGCCACACACATTTGTCAGATCTCCAGGTTCAGGATGATTTTCCAAGGGACAGTCTCTTTCTGTGTCCTTAGTGTATACTCTCTGATTCGGGAAATTAGTGAATCAGTATTTAGGATTTTTGTCACTAGATCTTTACGTTTTGTGAAGCACTATGGAAAAGCAGTGGAGATAATTCCTAAGGATGCTCTTCAAATCCTGAAGGAGACCTTCTACCTCAGACGTTAGGGTGATGGCAGGTGCTATATCAAGCTAAGATCTTTTCCTGAGCTCCCACAGATCACAGTGATGGTGAAGAGGTGATGAGAATCCAAATCATCATCTTTGAATTGCAGATGTCAGAGAGTGCCTGTCACAGAATCAGTGATGCTATAATGCATCATAGATTGGATCCAAGAATTTGGCAAAATTCAATCTGTCTACTTCCTGAAGGAGAGTATGTAGTTTGCAAGGCACTGCAAATTTTTATATTATAGATGAAAAAGAAAATGGAGGCACCTTGGGGACTCTCCTAATAGTGATGCTGCTGGTTAAAAATCTAAGCTGTAAATACTACACTCTTGGTTTCCTGCATCATGAAGAGATATATACGTTATAAAGACAAGCTCCTGCAAGACTAGGACAAGGGCCTGGAAACAATTCTTATTCACACATGGGGATATGGAACCAGAAAGCAAACCTCAAATAAGGCTTAACAGAGGGACTCAAAGCTAGAACTTGAAGAGCACATCTGTGCTTTTTGGCTTTCCATTACTATAACAAAGTACCTGAGATAGTCAACTCACAGAAAGAAAAGTTTATTTTGTTTCACAGTTTGGGAGATTTCAGTCCATGGCCAATTGACTTCATAACGTTGGAGCTGTGGCAGCACATCCTGGTGGGAGAAGGTGGTGGAGCAAACTCTTTGCCTAATGATCTGGAATGAAAGTAAGATAAGAAAGGGCAGGAGCTCCTAATTCCCTTCAAATGTACACCATTTTTGCCAGAAGACCTCTCACTAGGTCCAACCTCAAAAGTTCCTACCACCTCTCTTAGTGCTATAGACTGGGCACTACTCCATTAGGTGACATTCCAAATGCGACCAGCAGCAATATCCATTATAGAATTAGATAAGAATGCCACAGGACTGTTCATACAAGGTTCAGGAAAAAAAGTGAAATGATAAGGAAAAGAGAAGAGAGCATGAAATCAGACAAACACCTAAATCAGACTTCCCTTTCAATAGCTACTTTGTGGTCTTGGGTAAGTTACCCAACCTCTCAAAGCCTCTATTTCTTCCTTATAAAAAGAAAGTGTTCAGTACTTTAGGTCACTGAATTATTACAATCATCACTAACTATAATGAAATGGATGAGCTAGAGATTTGGTGAAATAATAGAAAAAAAAAGAACAAATTCTTTCTTATAACCCATTGCGGTCTATTTTGCTTCCTTAGATGTGGCCTGTAACAGGGAAAACCCCTATGAAAGGATGTGTGAGAGCGAGCTGGTTTGTGGTTTTCACTCCAGTGTCACCCATCATCGGTTAAGCAACCCACAATATTTCTTTCTGTTCCTATGCACTGGAGACATCAGCATTGTTCCAGCTGTGTGTTGTAGTTGTCTGCTTGACTTTCTGTGGAGCCATCCAGCTCTTCTTAGTCATTGGAGGGGATAGGGCTGTGGGTAAGAACAAAGAATGAATGTGTTTTTCTGTGAGTCAGGCATAAGTATTGTTTTGTTTTGTTTTGTTTTGTTTTACTTATCCTTATCATAATCCTAACAGGTAACTATTAATAATCTCACTTACCACATAAGACTACCGGGCTTAGATATGAAGTAATCTACTCAAGATCACCTAGCTAGGAACTGGCAGATCCAGAAAATAAATTACAGGTATTCGACTCCAAACACCAGGCTTTATCTAATACCACTGAGTTTTCCAACATTATTGATTTTCAGTGATTCCTTCTCATTTCATTTCTTGGCAGGACTGCAACTTGGGGGTCAGGAGACAAGGTTCCTTACTTTCTTGACCATCAGAGCTGGACCCAGCTGTGCGGGGTTCTGTAGTTTCCTCTATCACTGTGCTACCTCATCTGTATAATTTCCTGATAACTGAAACAGACACAGACTTGCTTGTAAACTAGAGTTCACAATACCTTGGTTTGCATTTCACATGCCTTTTCCTTCCTTAAACAAAAGAGTTGAATGTGTTTCTGTTTCTCTGAATTGTGATTTTTCATATCTCTTGTTAGCTTTATCCTATCTCAGAGATTCTCTGTGGGATAAACTCTCTTACTTACCTCAGAAGGTATCTCATTCATGTATCATCAGGCAAACACTCCTTTTGGGCTTTTCTAAGTGGAATTAGTCCCTTGAACTGAGAGGAGCTAGACAGGGAAATGAAAGATTTGCATTCATTGCTGAATTCATTCCTGATAAAAATAAAATGTTATGTTTAGTAATGCATATGCTACTGCAAGTACAACATAGAATGTGTGCATAGTATTAAATATTTGTTTGTATATTTTATATGATTAAAATAGTGTTTCCATCTAGTTCATTCTTTTTTTCCCTTTGTAACTCAAGGAACATGACTTAGTTTCAGTGGGGGAAAAAAAAAGAAAGAAGAAAGGGAAAAGAAAATGAGAAAACAAAATCTGAAAGGTCTTAAATTTTGAGATCCTAGACAGTTTAGAAACCGTACCTAATTCTGTAGAAAAACAAACCTTAGTGAGAGTCAAACTCAAGGAATTTTCTTAGGGGCTGGACCATAGGACCAGCTTTTGTGTATTACCTGTATGTTAGAAGAGAAAATGTCCACTGTGGCATGATTATCAGGTGCTGAGGTTTTCAAGGATCTAACTTTTTTAAAAAATCTTTTTAATGTGCTAGGTAATGTTTAAAGCAATTAAATCTTGTTATTTCATTTAGTAATTTTTATATGATATTGATGGAGAGACTATTATTGTCTTCATTTCATACATGAAGAAACTAACGAATCAAAAACTAAAAAGTAATACAGTCAGATCACCAACCAACCATTGTGTCTGACTCCAATCTTGGCCTCCAATACTGAGCTTTATTCCCTTCTCTCTCTCTCTCTCTCTATCTCTCTCTCTTTGTTCTCTTCTAAACATCTGAGGTATCCAGAAATAAGACAGTAATGAGTAATTTCAGAACTGGAAATTGAAGAGTAGATGCTGCCTAAAGAATATAATTAAATAATGATGATGCTGGTGATGGTAATGATGACAAATGTGCTGACCAAGTAAAACATATCTTTGGGCCAATTTTCACATCTGGGCTTCTCAAGTCCAGCAGTGGATGCTGATTGAAAGAAAAATTACACAGACTCATGAACTTGAATCTTGGGATTGATTCTGGGGAATTCTGATGGCCCAGATTTGAAAAAAAATTCAGAATAATTACCCTATTGTCTAAAGATGACCTTGTGGGCAGAGATTCATAATTTCAATCCAAAATTTCTGATCCATTTTTAGACTACTGTGATTGCATTTTTATGATTAATGTAATTTGGCATATATTATAACACATAAAAGAATTAGTGGTAGGCTGTGGAGAATTTTTAGAAATACAATGTCCTCTTTCCATTAGAGGCTGCTATGGAAAGCACAAAGTATATAGAAAGAGTTCACTGTTAAAGAAATCCACTAATTTATATTGTACTTATATACTTTTAAAGATAGTGACACACCTGCTAGGAATACTTCCTGGACAAAAGCAAAACAAAACAAAACACAATTAAACTTAACAAAATTTTCTTTACAGCTTGTCAGACTTCAAAAGAAAGCCATCAAAAACCCAAAACCAAAGTCAGCATTCTTCCAAAGCTCTGAATTTTTACTTGAATAGACAAGTGAGCCTCTTCAAATTGTTTTTCAATTAGGTGAGCTGGAAACAAAATATATTATTAAATAATTTTAATTTTCTAATAAATTCACAAATAGAATCAAATATAAAATTCAACAAAAACAAATTGCCTTGCTTAAATCAGTATAGTCAGTGATTCATAGTGATTCTTGACTATTTTTATTAACATTTTTCTACCAGTCTAAAATAAATGTAAGGTCATTTCCATCAATGAGGAAGAGAATTGGTATCTTTAAATTCAAATTCTGGAAAAATTTTGAGACTGAAGTTACATACAGCAGGTCTCCAAAAATATTTTTGAATGAATAGCAGAATAAATGAGCCAATGGATCTATGATACAAACTATTTTATAATCTTTGTTTTTGTGTACAAATGCCTTCTCATATTTAAATCTCATCCCTTCATTTTATTGATAACTCAATGCTGATGATAGGTAGTAGAATGACTAGTTTACCTAATTTTAATTCTTCACGTAACGTAAATTTCAGCGAGCATAGAATAGCATTGATTCATCTGATTTTTTCATGATACTGGCCAAGAAATACTTACACCCCAGAACCAATTTGACTGGAAGAAATATTATATTGGAGAATGGTTACAACTGTGTAAAGAACTGATGAACTCCTTCAAAGTCAGAACAAATAACTCACATCACAAGAAAGAGTCGCTACAGACTTGTTTTAAAGCTTCATTTCCTTTAAGAGAAATGGGATTGCTTTAAAGACCTTGAAATTTTATAGTGTTATTTTATATGTGTTCCTGATTTATTTTTAATGTACATAGAGAGAACCAGGGCACAGTGCGTGTAGAATGATAATTATCCTGTGAAGTGTTTAGATATTCTGTGGCCTTTATAACCCACATTTATTTCAATACATATATATATTGTGATTTCAAAAAACCTGTCACGTGCTCATCCTTAATAAAACAGAATTAGAAATGCTTTCCAAACTCACTCTTAAAGGTAAAACCACTTGTACTCCTTTGGTAAGGCTGCTATAATAAGACACTACAAGTGGGATGCTTAGACAACAGAAAAGTGTTCCTCCACAGTTCGGAAGGCTGGAAGTCTGAGTTCATGTTGTCAGCAGGTTGGTTTCTACTGGTGACTAGGAAGATTTGTCTGTGTCTTGTATTTAGCTTTTGGTAGTTTGCTGGCAATCTCTGAGGCACCTTCCAGTGGAGAAGCATCTACCTCCATCTTCACACAGTCCTCTCCCAGAGTGTTTTTGTGCTCAGTACTTTTAAAAATAAGGGATCAATCCTATTGGACAGGCTTGTTCTGATGACCTCATTCCAGGACACATTCAGAAGTACTAAAGTTTAGGTCTCCCACGTACCTTTCTTGGAATGACACAATTTAACCCAGAACACTCTTAGACTCTAAATATCTCAGGATTATACAGAAAAAACTGTTGCCTACCATATACTACCCACTTTCTAAATCATTTTGACAGCGAACTAAGATAGGTACTGCCACTGTTTCAACAATTAAAGAATGTGATGTTCAGAGATCAAGTCACTGGAGCAAGAACACCCACAGTTGCGATTTCAGGCTGAAAATATTTACACTTTATCCAGCATTTACAGAATATATCATATGTGGGAGGGCCTTTCCATATGTATAATTTCAGTAGGATTGTTCACTATTATGATACATATAAGGAAATTAGTGCCTGGAACAGAGTGGATGACTAATTATGAAATGTTAACTGGTTTATCTTCAGGGATTTTCCATAATATAAGGTGGAAGGAAAGAGTATATTCTGAGGCTTGGAAATTAATGAAAACCTGTTTCCTATGTGATCTTTCCACTATATGAAAAATACCATTGTGTGCCATCATCAGATAGGTTTTTAATTTGCTGTAAGATTCAAAATCACTAGCTCATATCAGAAAACATATATCATAGAGCTATACTTAAAAAATACTCAGACACCTCACATTCATGATGGAAATATGGCTCTTAGCAGATATGTGATTCACACATGCTAAAAAATATCTAGGCAGAAGAGCACAGTTGCAGTATGTAGTCTTATATTCATATATGAGAGTATTAGCTGTAAGTACAGAACTAGTGGTAAGTGTTGCTTTTGATTTTTTTTAGCTGTCATAATTTCCCTGTTAAATGACAGGTGGACTGGAAAAAATGCAAAACCATTTCAAACTCACCTTAAAGTTGGTAGAAATTGCTGTGAATATAAAAAGGATAAAATGCTTTCTAGTCTGGGTTCCTATTTAATACTGTTAAAATATATTAATAATGTTGAAAAACTCAAGTCAGTACTTGGTAGAGAAATGTTTGAATAAAAGAGCTGTTGATGCCATATAGTTTTGGCATATGTCTGGAGAAATGCTTTATAGTCATTATAATGAATTAAAGAGTAAATGCATGAACAAGAGAGAGGGGAGTAACTTTTTCTGATATTCTCAGAGTATCCGATGTCTGATATTACTTTTGCTCCTACACATTATACGGATACACAGTTATTCAGATTACTTCCCAATAAAATGTCTTCGCTGAAGAAAATAATAACATCTGATGGTGTGGACTGCTATATTTGTCTGAATTCTCCAAAGAAATAGAGCCAGTAGGACGTACATTTATCTACAGCTATCTGTGCGACAGGAGGAATCGGTTTTACATAATTATGTAGCCCAGGAGTTCCATGATCTACAATCGTGAAATACCAGTGGTAAATTCAGTCCTAGTCCTAAATCCTGAGAACAGGGGAAACTAAAGGCAAAAGATGAGACGAGATGCCCCCGGGAAATTAACTGGCTAAGGTTGTCGTCCTGGCCAGTGGGGACACTTCACTTTCACTAGTTGATTAGAACGCTCTCATTTCTGCTGGATATAATTAATTCTTCAACAAAACGAAGTGCACATGCGATTTATATTTATAATGTTCAAAGACAGCACATTCAAAAATGTGCTCTAATAATTGTGTTCACCGGGTAAACAACTGACAGGCAGTTGGAGGCAAGGAAGCCCAGAAAGAATAAAGTGTGGATAACTGAGAAGAAATGACAGAGGTGACTCAAGGGGCCACTGCACTCACTATTGCCATTAAAATACTAGTGAAAATGTGCTGTGTCCCTGTCAGTGTGGTGTGGTCTCCCAAATTATCTCTTATGAAAAAGTATCAAAGTTGCCTAATAACTTATTTTATTAATAAATAAATTACAGTAGTTCTTCCTCTAATTGAAAATGCATCCATTTGGTAAAGGTTATGGAGGCAGAGAAGGAGATGCAGTTATGGCAGCTGGTTGGGGATTACACGTGACCCTGGTGTACCCAGGGGAGTATTTCCTAGACTGAAAACTCCTTCATTATGTAAATCGGCAAAGAGATATAAAGTCGAGAAGTGCTGCTCTAGCTCTTTAGATTGAAGTTAATGTCCCTGAGTACTGGTTCCCTTATGCTTGTTTTCTGCATTCTTTATGACCCTGGAGAGCTGATGGAGACATTTCCTGTGAGATCAGCTGCTACCC